CTAACCAGTTCTTTCATATTTTCTATATATATTTTCACACACACACACACACACACACACACACACACACACACATATATATATATATATATATATATATATATATATATAATTGTATATGGAATGAATTCCAATGATTTTATAACATATTTATGTTATAATTTTTAAAAATAAATAATTTTATATATATATATATATATATATATATATATATATATATATATATATATATATATATAGAGAGAGAGAGAGAGAGAGAGAGAGGAATGAAAATGTATAGCAAGTGCTTTAATTGATCGATCATCCACAGTAAATTTACACCCAGGTTCCTACAAAATTTCTCTTTTCTTGGCAGATCTTTCGTTATCACAATGTGGGATATTTAATTACAAAAGTGATGAAAACATTAACAAAATCAAAAAGAAACTAAATGAAATTGGTTAGATTATATACCTAAAACATGTTTAAAAAAATAAATTTAAAATTTCATCGTCGTTTCTCCTTTGTATGGGCATGCAGTCCCATCAACATAAAAAAATCACTTTAGTCTAATGAAATCCTAAATGACAATATATATATATATATATATATATATATGTGTGTGTGTGTGTGTGTGTGTGTGTGTGTGTGTGTAAGAAGTGTGGACACTGATGTCAGCACCGAGGGAGTTTTCTTGGTTTCTCACTCAACTGCGCCCCACATATAATAATCAAGGGGGTTGCAGTCTGGGAAGTTAGGTGGCCAGATGTAAGGGGTGATGTGGACGCAGAAATTTATAACAGCCATAACTTGGTTCCCCCGCTTGTGTGGTATGGTGCAGCGTCATCTTGCAAGACATAAGGTCTTCCAGCAACCACCCTCTTGACCCAGGGCAGCACTACCTTCTCAAGGCACTTGATGTAGGCCTCCGTGTTGAGTCCCTGTGGGAAGCTGAGTGAACTTCATAACGTCACCATCACTAGTGATCCCTCCAGACACCATGATGCTGACTGGATATTTGGTTTTCATCACCCTCAATACATCTCTTGGGGACCAAGCAAGCCAACGGTTGTTCTGTGTCTTCACCATCTTATCCTGGAAGAAAATTTTCTCGTTTGAGAAAAACCAAAGCATGTTCGATTGGAGGGAATGCTTGAGTTTGTTCAAACGCTTCGTAGCGCGGCCTTTCCTCTTGTATTATCCTCTTGGAATAAAAATTGGCCCTTTCTCATTTTGTATGAGAAATATCGAATGTCTTCACTCTTCATGAACTATCTGTCTAATAAGAAACTTAGACACACCTGTGTACCTGATTGACTTGAAAGGATCGTTGCCAATCATGATCTGGATCTCACCATCAAATTCGGGAGTTCTTTTCTTATCAGAACAATCAGGGTCAGTTTTTCCTTCGTAATCACTATTAAGATGAGTCTAGACTCATCAAACTCTTTCCGAATCCTCTGCACTGTCCTCAGACTGACAGCCAACCACTCTGAAATGTTCGTATTGGAGCTTCCGGCACGAATGCCAAGCAGTACATCACGCCATTTCCAAATTTCTGGTGGAGTGACTTGCGTCATTGTGCTCTTTTTCTCACAGACGGCGCCCAACAGACCCTACTATACTATGCAGTTGACAAAATCAAAAACAAAAACAACGTGCATGTGGATTGACTTATCCTTTCAGAATATTTGGTAATCATGTTTCTTTACAAATTCTTTTTCTTTTTCCGTGAATTCATTGCCATGATATCCTGGGAGTGGAGTGGTTTTCTCAGAATTTGGAATTTAGAGTCCTCCCCACTTAAACTGGTTGACAGTCTATTTTTAACCTATACTTGGCGGGTAGGAAAGATGGAATCAACTTTTTCCCAAGGATAGTGTTGTCACATGAGAAAATTAGAGATACTGAACACATTTTCTAAATTTCTCTCTCTAGATATAAACCGAGGCATAAGTTAAAAACATAAAGCAATGATTTTAATTGGTTATGGGGAAAGTAAAAGTAAAATCATTTGAAAATTATTTAATACAAGCTAAGAAAAAGAAATTCAGTAAAAGTGAAATCATTTGAAAATATTTTTTAAAGACAACAACGAAATAAACACGCCTGTTTTATTTTTTGTGTAGCTATTTTTTGTGTAAATTTCTTGCAACACGAGTTTTCTCGTTACATTTTTGTTTTGTTTTTTTTCATCAAGAGAATCTAAGAAAAGCAAGTATAAACTAAAATTACAACCAAGAACCGTTTAAGGTAGTAAAATATATTTTATTACGAAATTTGAAAATAAATGCGGGATATTTAGGGTATCTAAAGGTCAGTCAGTACGAGAGAGTGAACAAAATTATGCAATACAAGACATGCCCAATATATAAGGAACGTCTGGCAAGCCTTAGTATACAACAAACTGGGTGTTTTTTTTAATGATTCGCCGATCCCATTGTCTGCATTGATAGCTATCTGCATTGATAGCTACCCACACATCCCTCGTCTACTAATGTTACAAGTTCAAAAACATTTACTCATAATTTAAAAAGGGTCTTCCTAAAGTTTAAACCTTAGTGATAAAATTATAATCAAAATTTAACTCAAATGTAACAGTAATTTTAAAACACTATGAATCTCGGAATAAATTTTTTGTAAATAAATTGTTTAAGTAAGTTATTAATTAGACAGTTACGTGAACTGTATGGTAGCCTTTCGCTACTCCGTCCACATGATCAAGAACAGACATTATATATCTTCATGACCTTGACCCTTTTCTTCATTGCGTTGCACACTCCATTCAATTTAAGTTCATTTAGATTCATAAACCTAATTTCTTTTTAGTTGTTTCAGTGTTACGATCCTAGTCTGAATACACTTGTAAACATTTTTATACCTTTTATATTTCGTAGCACCTCAGAAATTATTTTTAGTACCAGTAGAACCAGTTAATGTTTACACTCTCTTGATTTTTTTTTTTTGTCCAAGGGCAGAATACAACGGCTTGTCTTTTCTGAGGGTTGGACCGGTCCTTAACTAATATCAGTTATGTATGTTTATTTTGCTTTATTTGATATTGAGTTTGTTTCAGGGTCCATCCTTCCCCACCTCATTGTAAATAATCCATGAATTTTTGTATATAAACTTTTGTAATCATCAGATTTGTATGCCATGGGGTGGGTTTTGTAGGTCCCCTGAGAGGATGCGGTATTATGGTGTATGGAGGATTGATTGGTGACAGATGTGTTTTTATGGTGAATGCGCAAATTGTAACGATTGAATTGGATTAGCTAGGTATAGGATAGTCAGTGAAGACCAGCCTCAACCCATTCTCCTCTTTTCGGCTTTGTGCCATAATCATATTTATATACAATAAATATCCAGAGGACGAGGAGAAACGCAGGCCCCTGGCCATTGTGTCCAAGGCGCTTGGTCGGGTTATGTATTGAGTTACGTTCCCATTTTTGATCTGCCAACTGGACGCTAGTTGGGCTTTCTATCCATTCTTACTTCCAGCACATGTGCCCTTTATTATTTCTGGCTACCATAGACCATTGACCTTTATTACTTCCACAGCCCCATATTCTCCAGTATTCCTGGCCTTTATTACTCCCTGACCCTTACTTCCAGCATCTCTATCTCAACCTAACTCCTTTGGTTGATTGGCGTTAATGAACCTGCTTACAACAGCCCTGAACTTCTGGCCACTCATTGGTCCCTACTTCTGGCATCTCTATCTCATCCTAACTTACCTGGTTGATCGGCGTTTATGGATCTGCTTATAACAGCCCTGAACTTCCGGCTACACTAGGTCCTGGCTTTCCTGTTGACCTAACTCAACTGGTTTAGGAAATTGCTGCATACATATCGTCCTGACTCAAACAACCTACTCCGTACACTTTGGCTAAATACTATGGAAGGTTAACCATTAGACTTAACCAGCAACTACTCAACGCCATCACCGGACATTTAAATAGAACTTTCTTCTCTTTGGCTATATCGTCCAGACTTCAAATAACCTACTGTACACTTCGGTTAAAATACTACGGAAGGTTCATCATTGGACTTAACCAGCAACTATTTAACACTTTCACTGGACATATGAACTGAACTTTCGAATTGTGGACTTACATGCCAACTTAACTTACATAAACTCTACTTTTAACATTTAGGCACAGTAAGCCGGTCAGTATTTCTCGATTTACTTAATTCTGCCTCCATTACTTGATCCATTGTTTGTTCATGTTCCTTTAAACGAATCATTACTATTGTATCCCATGTAAATAAATTTTGTGTTAATTTTAAGTTTGTCGCTTGTTGACCTGTCAGATTCCACGTCATTTATTTCCAAAATGTTAGTGGGCCTCTTGTGACTCTTACTTATTTGGGGCGCTCAAGCCATTTATACCGAGCCCACTACAGGGGTCCATTAAGTAAAAAAAAAAAATACTTTGAAGGTGTGGACTAAAAGGAGTGTATGGAGTAAGAAATTGTAACTACGTCAAAAACGATTGCGTCATAAGCAGAAACAGTACGAGCCTTTTTAAAAATATTGATGCAACTCAACAGCAGTAGCTCATGATGTATTGTAGAAGAGGGCAAATAAGAATTCATAACGTTCTGCAGCTACAATACTATCGCTACTGCTACGATATTTTATTTCATCACAAGCATTTTTATTACTTATGATTAGTGATGAAATTGATGATGATGATGATGAAAAATTTTGTGTTTGTTGAATATGCTGCATCATACATTACATACCCGTCCAATTTCTTTGATGTAAAAAAAAAGTAAAAAAAATGAAATAAAAAGAAGTTGGCCCAAATTGTGATTGGTCGGACTTGCCTTGACGTCATATCGTTTCATGGCTCGCGCCTTCTAAAAATATAAGTTGTGGGGCCATTCGTTCATTGATAATTCGTTGTTTATACGAACAACATTCAACCACAAGGGATAATATTGTAATTAAGTAAAGTAGACGATTGACATTTTTCCCCATTGCAAAGAAGAAAAAAAAACTACAAGAAAGAATTATGGAGACTGTACGCGCCGTTATGCTTGTGGCTATCGCTTTTTCTTTAATTGTTGGTAAGTAAAAATGCGAAATATAGTTTTTGGTTAAAAACTGTTTGTTTTTTCAATTTTTGCTATCAAGTTGTTAAGTAATTACGCATTTAAGGAAGATTGGTTTGTTTTTCTTTCCGTGGATTTAATTTGTTTGTAAGAAAAACACATTTTATTAAAACTACAGAAAGTCAGTATTGTACAATAAAAACCCTTTTCCAAAGTTGATAAAAGTTTACTTTTCGTATTATCCCGATATTTTTTCAACATTGTGAAGAAACTGAGGGTTTTTCTTTTGTCAATTTTTTTTTTTTTTACACAAAAGGAGAATTTTGCAAACCAAATTCGTTTTTCTATTTAAAAAAAAGTTCCTTTTTGTTGGAAGGATTTTCTAGACCAAATTCAAGAAAAAAAACAAACTTCCAAATTTGTAAACTAGAAGATAAAGTAAAGCGAGAATAAACAATCTGTCTTTGAAACTCAATGACCAGACTATTGAAAGCGATGCACTCATGCGGGAACATTTTTGTGACTTAACTTTAATTTTATTTTTTTCTCTTCAACCTTGCACTGTTTTAGTAAACAAAAGTTCTTTTTCTACTTGAAAAAGAATATTTGAAATTATTTTTTGTGCGTGTACAACTTTCTGAATGAAAAACTCAAATATAGTCACTTTTTTTTTTTTTTTTTATTATTAGTTTACCGACTATTCAATTGTAAAAATGAAAATCAGTTTTTTTTTTTTCAAATTAATGAAAATATTTTGTTCTGACACATTACCCCTCTCCTATGTCCCGAGTAACTATTTATTTACTTGTCTTTAATAAAGACAGACTTAAAAAAACAAAAACAAAAAAAAACGATTACCTAATGTCGCAAAAATTTGACTGGACATTGATTGTGCTCATCGCACAATCAATGTCCAGTCATTGTGCGCGTTTTTTACTTTTTTTTTTTTTTTTTTTTTTTACAGTGACACTCTTTAACACTTCAATACTAAACGTCACCGAAACACTTTTTTAATTTTACCTAAACTTGAAAGTGCCCCCTCCTCTCCAACCACTTCAGATTAACCATTTTTGATTATCAGGTTGGACAAAAAAAAAGAATGATTCTTGATATAAAAACCTGAAAGTGTTTTGTTTGTCTAGGGAAGTTTTTTAGCTCCTGCGTCACCCTGTGGATTGGACAAAGTCACAAAATCGAAAGTATCTGAATCTCTTTCTTAACAAAATTCGCTATAAATGTCTTTTTTCTTTAATTTCGATCCCAAATAAGATGCTAATTAAAGGAATTAACAATAGTGGCTCTTCATTTTTTTCCCCTTTTAACTTAAGTGATAGTAAAACAAACTTCTGTTACTACTGTACAAAAAAACAACCCGCGTGCGATCTGTGGCGAGAAAATTAAGTGAACACTAGTCTTTGAAAACTTTTCACAATAGAAAAAAAAAAGTATTTTAAATGTGCCTAATACAAAAATTTTAAAGTTAAAAACAAAAACTATGAATAATGTTAAAAATTAACATGTACGAATGTGTTCCCTTCTTTCACAGTCACGCCAGACTTTTGAATTTTTTTTTTTTCTTCCTATTCTTAACTCAAAATCTGAAAATGTAGTGAAGTTAGACTGAAGTTTTATTATTTTCGTTTGTTTTTTTTGTTTTTTTTAATCGTTTAGATTTAGTCATGCTAAGTGTTTTTGGAGGCAGTGACTGATATTTTTTTTTTTTTTCTTTTAAGTCAAAAGATACATTTGCAGATCGTGACTATCTGCAAAAGCACTTTAAGGAAAGGTATTTCTTCCAAATCTTTTCCATAATTACCATCAACAATAAGCACTCTAGATAACAAATGTTAAATTTTCAAAATTTTAAAGTTCAGTTTAGTATTGTATCACGCTCCATTACGGAAGACAAATGATAAAAAAAATAGTTAATAAATCGTATCATCTTAAAATATGAATTAAAAAGCATATTTTTAATGATTTTTCTCCTGTCCACCCCCAACCCCCCGGTCGTAGATAGGAAATTTAGGAATATTGACTGAAGTATGGCATAAAAACAAATCTTAAAAATAATTTAGAAATTTTTATTTGTTGTTTTTGAAGAGAAATCAAATGAAAATTGATTTCTTGTATTTAATTTAAAGATTAAAAACTCCTTCAATTCAATATTTTATAACACAAAGTTGTTTACTGTGTAGTGACTTAAACTAAAAAGTATCTCCACTAAGTCGCGTTAAAAAACAACAAAAAAAAGTCATCTGCATAGCATGATGAAAAAAAAGGCCCTAAACTTAAAAGTAAAACAAAGTTTTGTCATCAAAATGTTTGGCATACTTTTTTTAGTCTTTACTCTTTCCTCTCAGTAATTTTTTTTTTTTTTTTTTTTTTATTTTTATTACGCTTTTTCCGAGGAAAAACACATTGGTTTGGGATTTCTTGCAAAATTCAAAAAATTGTCGGATTTTAACGAAACTTTCAGGGCATTCAGAAATGAATTAAATTATTTTTGAAATTAGTGGTTTTCAAACACCCCATTTCAAATATAAATTCTTATTTTCTTGTGTTCTTTCTCTAGTTTCTAGATAAATGAAAAATTGAATTGAAAAGCCAATTCTTTGTATTTAATTTACTTGACAAACGTATTCAGAAAGCTATTTGACTTGCCAATTAAGGAAAAACAGTGGGGTGTTCGAATACACCCACGATATTAAGGGGGGGTGTTAAAACTTGTCCAATCAATCCCTGTGAGCAAAGTTCTTTTTATTTTAACTAACACTTCAAAAAATCGCCATTTTGTTAGCAGCTATGGTTCGTTAGTTTATTAAACATTTTTGTGGTTTTAGTCTTTTAGTTTAAAAACTAAAGTGTTTTTTTTTTTTTTTTTTTTTTTTTCTTCTTAGCCTAAGAAATTTATCTGGTAAGTTTGCTTTTTAACGCCTAAACACCCGCGCGCTAAAAACCTTAAAATTTTCACAAATCGTTAATTCCGTGTAAATGTTCATGCTGAACTCAAATTTAACAATTAAATTATGAAGAAACCTACCGTTTTTGGAGTTATCGACAAGAAAAAAAAAATCCAGTGCGGAGTACATCCGGTGGCGCAACCTTAAATTTTGGCTTATTTATCTCCTTTTTACTGTAAATTTCCGAAATGATTTCCGAAATCACTACTAGCAGTCAAATATATGAATGACAAATTAAAAAATGCGCAAACTTTGTAAAGAGTTAATTTCGAAAATAAAATTACAAGTTAAAAACAAGGCTTTTCCGTTATTTTTTAATTTGTCAATTTCGTTTTATTTGTGTTTTTAATTTTAAGTTAAACTACACTTATCAAAAAATATTACTTTGCTTTCGGTAGTGTGTATTGATTTCGGAAACGAACTTATGTAAAGGAAGTAAATAGGCCAAAATTTAAGGTTGCGCCACCGGATGTACTCTGCACTGATTAGTGAACATTATGGCAGTAATGGAGGATGAATAACCAACAAGAAGTCCGATATTTTTTTGGTCGATAACTCCAAGAACGGTAGGTTTTTTCATAATTGTTAATTTGAGTTCAGCATGAACATTTACACGGAATTCTGATGATTTGGAAAAATTTTAAGAGATTTAGTGTGCATACGTTTTTGCATTAAAAAGCAAATTTACCATTTATCGCACAATAAATAATACGTTAATAATATATATATTTTCTTTTTATTCATAACAATTTTTAAACTAATTCCTTGAAAATTGCATAACATTCTTATACACCCCATATTTCAAAGATTTATAAATGAACCATGGATTTAAAATGGTTCTGTTCAGTGGAATCAACAAGCCAAGTTCAAATTTCATCCTAGTTTGTTGCGTTCATTTCAATGTTCTTGAAAAAGGGCATGAATCCATTTCTCCACACGATAACAGGGTAGACTGGGCTTTCTAGCCTTAATAGGTAGCCAATCTAGAAAAACGACTGAATTCAAGACCATGTAGAAAGTTGGAAACCACTCCATTTCTCAAATTACAATTCAGATGAACAGAAATCTGTGCAGAGCCATGATCATCTCTACATGGCATAAAAAATATGGTTAAGAAACATCCATTTTTCATGCATAAGGAATCCAGATTAGATCTTGAATTTTATTGAATCACAAGTAAATCTTGTAGCCAACTAGTTGACTAATCACTTGACTCTCTCTTTCTTTTTTTTTTTTTTTTTTTTTTTTTTTTTATACTCTCTCATATAATGTGATGTCCAAGACTCTTAAGAGTACACTATATAACAATTATAATATAAAATTCAAAGAATTTGTAATATTATTGGCCCTGACTTTGCATCTCCAGTCACTTTCCCACTGCCATAACATAGAAAAAGAGCACATCAATCTTATGTTGAATAAGGCACAAACAAACAAGACTTGAAACAATTTTGAAATTAAGAACATTTACACTAAAGAAAACAAATACAACATTTACAAAGAAATTTCTGTTAGTGTGCATTTTATATAAAAACTAAGGTTGGATAACAATTCAAACTATATACGCGACAAAAAAATCACAATTTTCAAAAATTAAACCTTGAAAGCAAAGTAAAAAAAAAAAAAAAAAAATTAAACAAGGTAGAAAATACAAAAAGTGCAGACTTTTTTAGATTTGAAATGGTTACTTATCACACATTTTTATTTTACCAAAGTTTAGTTTAAGATTTCAGTACCTTTTTAAAAATTCTCCTGGAAGCAGCCCAAATGGATTTTCCCCCTGGGTCCTGTATCTGCCTTCCAGTTGAAATTTTGCTATCTATTTCGAAATCTATATACTTCATCTGCTGACCTGACTCTTTTTATGAGAAAACAAGCGTCTCCCAGAGACCATAATTTCAAACTTAATGAAGGCATGAGACCACGTCTCTGGTCATTAAATACAATATATATTTTAACACTTTCTCCCTATTACCATAAAATCGGTTTTCTCTCTCTAGTAAAAATGATGTGAATTAATTTTAGTCTACTAATAGCAATTGATAACATTTCACT